AATCTTCCCAACGGATCGGTTGTTGTCGCCCGCGATACACGCGCGTGAGCCACTGCCACCACACGTTGGCCTCACCATCTAAATAGTACGCAGCATACCGAACCCAGTCACATTGCGGCATCTCATTTAAGTCAAAGTACTGCACCGCCCTGTTCAGCCAAGCGTCGGGGTTGGTTCCTGTGAATGTCGAGAGCACGATCCTTGGCTTCTCGACGCGTGGTCGCTTCTGTATGTCCGACGCCTGCGACCGCTGTTCGTATTCTTCCTCCTAGTCGGGGTTGTGCTCAGCCCGCTGCTGCTCCTGTTGCCTTAGGCACTCACGTACATTCACCCGTGGTGGCTCCTGCTGCTGCTGTCGCTGAAACCCGCGCAACACCTCCTCCAGGCGCTGCTCGAGGCGAGCAACGGCAGCATTGGTACTGATCTGTCCCTCGTCGAGAGATCCATACCGATCCTCTATGCTCTTGCTTATGGACTTCAAGTGGCCTTCCAATCCTTCAACTCTTTCCTTCAACTCACGATTGGCCATATCTTTTCTGGCTTGCCTACGTTCTCGACTTCCCGAACTAATTTTGTTCTCTCTCTTTTTTTTTGGAATGAATGAAAATTAAGAAAGAAAAATTAAAAGAGAATGGGAAAGGAAAGACACACGATCGACTCTCTCAACGAAAGCACCAATGATGAAGAACGTGTGTCTCGATTGCCGACAAGCCACTCCCGTGCCTTAAATCGCTGATACTGTGCTCGGAGGTTCACACACACACGCCCCTTCGAATGATAATTTGCAATAGAACACTTAACGTAAACTAAAGCAAGAGATTTGAACAAAAGTTCGGTTTTGTATTAAGAAGAATCAATAATAATCAATTCAAAACAAGGCACGCCTATTTATAAGGCTCAAAATAAAGATCTAGTCCCAATCTACTTAGACTAGACTACTTATTCTAGGAAAGCAATAAATATAAAGTGTCCTAAACAAACTAGAAAACAAGGAAATAAAATATTAACTAAGCTATCTAGAATATATCTTGCTTGCGTCTCAAACCGCCCTGCCCCGCGTCCGCATTGCCTAATCGCCCAAGGACTAGGGCTTTATCTCCCATTCCTGCGCACGCGTCCAGTAGCTCGCCTAATCCTCGCGCACCTAGGCAAAGTATGAGCGTGCACCCCATCGCCTGCGAGTTCAAACATGGCTCGTTCCCGACAGTATCGCGCGCGTCGTCTCCCGCGCGCGCACGTGATACGAAAGTGGTCATCAACCCAGGCGAGTCAGAGGATGAAGGTGGCAATGATCTCGATATATGGCTGGAGAACGTGCTGGAGGAGCCGACAAGTCCAATATACCGACCATCATGTGTACGAGATTGGCCAAAAGGATGTGGTCCACGAGCTAAGCTTAAACATAAGAGACGCAAGACCAAACGAGCTCGAAGGAAAGGCAACGAAAATGCTAAGGAATCAAGTTGTTGGTGAAAGCGTTGTACAAAGAAGAGACGAGCCCAAAGGAAGGAGGCTGGTAGGCGTGGTTTGCGATGGGTTGAAGATGGATGGTGGATACCGGCGGAAGATTGTGTTAAGATGAAAGGTTAGGA